TCTCTCTGCCCCTCCCTGACTTGTGTCTCTCTCTATCAAAAATAAATAAATGTAAAAAAAATTTTTTTTTAATTTGCTTCCCTTTAAAGACTGAATAATATTCCATCATACCATATTTTTGTTTATCTGGTCATCTATTTTTTTTTTAAACGTTTATTTATTTTTGAGACAGAGAGAGACAGAGCATGAACAGGGGAGGGTCAGAGAGAGGGAGACACAGAATCTGAAACAGGCTCCAGGCTCTGAGCTGTCAGCACAGAGCCTGACGCGGGGCTCGAACTCACGGATCGTGAGATCATGACCTGAGCCGAAGTCGTACACTTAACTGACTGAGCCACCCAGGCGCCCCTATCTGGTCATCTGTTGATGTGCACTGGGTTACTTTTGCCTTTTGGCTATTGTGAATAATGTCATTGTGAACCTCATTATACATATATCTCTTTGAGAGCCTGCTTTCAATTCGTTTGGGTCTATAACCGAAAATGGAAGTGTGGGGTCATATGATAATTTTGTTTTTAATTTTTTGAGGAACCACTATACTGTTTGCCATAGTAGAGACACCATTTTACATTCCCACCAGTAATGCACATGAGTTCCAGTTTTTCCACATGCTCAACCACACTTGTTATTTTCTGTTTTTGTTGTTGTCTTACATAATAGTCATCCTAATGGGTGTAAAGTAATATCTGATTGTAGTTTTGGCTTGCATTTCCCTAAAGATTAGTGAAGTGGAACATCTTTTCATGTGCTTATTGGCCACTTGTCTGCGTTTGGGAAAATGTCTATTCAAGTCCTTTCTCCATTTTTTTAAATCTGGTTGTTTGGTTTTCTGTCGTTGAGTTATATCCATTCTTTATATATTCTGGGTATTAACTCCTTATAAGATATGTGACTTGTAAATATTTTCTCCCATTCTGTGGGTTGCCTTTTCTCTGTGTTAATAGTTTAAAGCACAAAAGTTTTTGGTTTTGATGAATTCCCACTTATCTACTTTTTCTTTTGGTATTCATGCTTTTGATATTATATATCCAAGAATTCACGGCTAAATCCAATGTCATGTGACTTTTCCTTATGTCTTTTT